CAGCTAACAGAAAAATCCCACAAAGATGAGGCTGCATTTTTCTAATTTTGTTCACTAATGTATTCCCAGAATCCAGAGCAAAATTTAGCACATAGTAAATGCTGGATAAGTGTTTATTGAATGCATTTGAAAATGAATCTAGCCCTACCTCCTCACTGGGTTACTGAAAACCAAGATTATTGAAGAGGCCAAGACTGGACTGGGTCCAGGGCTCCTCCCACGTCTCCAGGCTGTGCCTAGATGGAGGTCGGGAAGGCTAGGCTGGTCAGACCATTCCCCAGGGGAGCTTGGACGCTCAAGAGCAAAGTTCACATGCTGAACCAGTCCATGAAAAGGTGTACAAAGACCACTTTTGATTAATGAAATAAGTAGAGGTGGCTATTTAAAGGGCCAGCTGACTTTCAGTGCTATAGGGAAAGGGAAACAATGCCTTCCTCTTGTACCACACAGATGTGCTGGTTCCCCACACAACCAGAATCCCAATGGAGAAGTGCCTGTGTCTACACCAGAAATTCTCAAAAGTGTGGTCCGCAGAACCCCTGAGAGTCCTTGACCTGTTAGGAGATCCACAGATCAAGACTATTTTCATAATAATACTAACGGGTTATTTGCCCTTTTCAGTGTATTAGTATTGGCACTGATGGTGGAGAAGTGAGGGTGGGTAAAACTGCTGGCATTTCAGTAAGAATCAAATCATCGCCACTTGACTATACTATATAATATACTATGTCATCAAAGCATTGCCTCTACACTATCCTATATAATATACCATGTCATCAAAGCATCGCCTCTACACTATACTGTATAATATACCATGTCATCAAAGCATCGCCCCTACACTATACTGTATAATATACCATGTCATCAAAGCATCGCCTCTACGCTGTACTGTATAATATACCATGTCATCAAAGCATCACCTCTACCCTATATAATATACCATGTAATCAAAGCATCGCCCCTACACTATACTGTATAATATACCATGTCATCAAAGCATCGCCCCTACGGTATACTATATAGTATACCATGTAATCAAAACATCGCCCCTACACTATACTATATAATATACCATGTCATCAAAGCATCGCCCCTACACTATACTGTATAATATACCATGTCATCAAAGCATCGCCTCTACGCTGTACTGTATAGTATACCATGACATCAAAGCATCACCTCTACCCTATATAATATACCATGTAATCAAAGCATCGCCCCTACGCTATACTATATAGTATACCACGTCATCAAAGCATCGCCCCTGCGCTATACTATATAGTATACCACGTCATCAAAGCATCGCCCCTGCGCTATACTATATAGTATACCACGTCATCAAAGCATCGCCCCTGCGCTATACTATATAGTATACCACGTCATCAAAGCATCGCCCCTACACTATACTAGCAGTCATCATATTCTTTACCACCATGTAAGCACAAGAAGGGAAATGCCAGTTACACTTAAGAATATCCTTGGCATTAAAAAATGTTTATTGTACTAAATCTTGACTATTGAGTACTCATCTTTTTAGTATTCTGTGTGATAAAATGGAATAAACTCACAAAACACTTCTCTTTTTTTGTTTGAGACAGAGTCTCGCTCTGTCATCCAGGTACGATCTTGGCTCATTACAATTCCCACTGCCCAGGTTCAAGCGATTCTCCTGCCTCAGCCTCCCGAGTAGCTGGGATTACAGGTGCACGCCACCATGCCTAGCTAATTTTTTGTATTTTTAGTAGAGATGGGGTGTCACCATGTTGGCCAGCCTGGTCTCGAACTCTGGACCTCTAGTGGTCCACCCGCATTGAACTCCCAAACTGCTAGGATTACAAGCATAAGCCACCATGCCCAGCCCTCACAAAGGACTTCTGCTGCATGTTAAAAGAGTTGGTGGTCCCAATTAAAAGCTTTTGTGCAATTATGTGACTTGCCAGCTGAACTCACCACTTTTTCATGCAATGCAATTTTTATTTGAAAGGACAACTAACAGATAAACTATGACTCTTCCTACTTAGATAGTAAATAAATGTGTATGCTTCTTTCTTGTTAATCTGTCTTTTGTCATAGGGACCTTGGCCATAAAAGTAGTGATGGGTGAGAAGAAGGTATTTCTCCTCTCCTACTAGCCTGTGAAACAATATCATTCTTTTAATTTTTTTTATTTTGGAAAATAGATTTTTCATTTAAAAATATTTTATTTATGTTAATGTGTAATAAATATTTTTATTTTAAAATAGATTAATAAATCTTTTTAAGTATCTCCATTTTAATTTCTAATATGGTAAATATCAACAAATGTAACCCACATAAACAAGTGTTCTTTGAGAGCCCTTACTAACTTTAAAAATGTAAAGGACTCCTGAGACCACAGAGGTTGGGTCCTGAGACCAGAGTTCATGCTGTTATTCCCCTCCTCAGAGACCTGCAAGAGTTTTTAGCATCCATAGAATAAAGTTAAATTCCTGATCGTGGCATTCAAGGCACTGCTGCACTTCAATCCCTCTTCCCACAATGTTCAAATCCCAGTCGTCCAGCCTGTCTGTCAATGGCTCCTGCCTTGAACTCACCAAATTCAGGCATCCATTCACTCGCTTATCAAACGCCAAGCCCCTGTCTCTGCAGGTAAGAACCAGATCCCACCCCTTAGGCGCTCAGAGGCTCCTAAGGAAGGATACGCACATACACGGATAACAGCGGTGCAAGGATGCTGGAGAGGTTCTGACACGACGCTATGGGAGCCTGTAATCCCAGCACTTTGGGAGGCCAAGGCAGGTGAATAATAGGAGGTCAACCTGTCCAACATGGTGAAACCTAGTCTCTACCAAAAATGCGAAAATGAGTCTAGTGTGGTGGTGGGCACCTGTAATCCCAGCTACCTGGGAGGCTCAGGCAGGAGAATCACTTGAACCCAGGAGGTGGAGGTTGCAGTGAGCCGAGATTGCACCACGGCACTCCATCCTGAGTGACAGAATGAGACTCCGTCTCAAAAAAAAAAAAGAAAATGCTATGGGAATTTGGAGTAGAATTCTGTCAAGGGACCAAGCACTTATTTTTTTCAAGTGACAGCAGATTTCCTTAGGGAACAACTGTTTTTTGGATCTTTTGGCGTATAGAAAATGAAGCTCTCCTCTCACCCCAAGTAACGGCCAGGTTGGGGAGGGTAGAACAGAGAATCGTTCTGCACAATATTGCGGGGAGCGTCTGGAGATTCTCAGAGCAGCTCTGCAGGGGCCTGAGGACGAGGCCCTAGGATGGGAAGAAAAGGAAAGTGAGGTGGGGAAGAGGATGGGGCCTAGAAGCATGGAGGAAGGCCAGCGTCCTGGAGAAGAAAGAGCTCAGTTGAAGTTCTCTGTGTCAGGAACGAGCACGGGACTAGGATCAGAGACATCCAGTACTTGATTTTTAGTTCGTTGCCTGCTTTGGGGCCTGGGCACTTTCCCAACCCCTACACTTCAGTGAAATTCGACTAGACAGAACCACTTTGTGTGAGTAAAGCTGTAGGAAAATCAGGGAAGGGAGAGTTTTCTAGTGCTGCCGTAACAAAGGACCACAAACTGGGTGGCTTGTTTATTTAACGTTGTCATCTCACAGCTCTGGAGGCTGGAAGTCTGAGTCAAGGTGTCAGCAGGGTGGGCTCCTTCTGGGGCTGTGAAGGACCCCGTTCCAGGCCTCTCCCCAGGCTTCTGGTGGTCCGTGGCCATCTCGGGCACCCTAGCCTGTAGATGCATCACCCCAGTGTCTACGTTTACGTTCATATAGCGTTCTCCCTGTGTGCAAGACTGTGCCAAAATTTTCCCTTTTCACAAAAACACCAGTCAAAATAAATTAGGGCCCACCCTAACAAGCTTGTAACTTAGTTACTCTTGCCATGACACTATCTCCAAATAAAATCACATTCCGAGATACTAGATAAGGGGTCAAGACTTCAGTATATCTTTTTAGAGGGTCCTATTTCAACCCCCAGCAGGAGCTGTGTTCCAGGACTGAGTCCCTGTGGAGTGGACAAACAGCTGTAAAAGGTGAGATGTGAGGGAGATAAGATAAGAAGCAGGCAATTGAACAGGAAATTGACTATGTAAAGCATAATCTACATGAAGAAATCCTCCAACTTATTGGGAGTGGAGCCACTATAGATAGGATGGGGGCTTTAGCCAGTACATGGACACTAGAAAGGGTAATCCTACAAGGCTGGAAAAACTGGAGATACACAGACACACACACACACACACACACACACAGAGCAGGCAGATCACATTTGGGTTTCAAAGAGATTTAGTTTGACTGGGAAGTTCGGGGAAGGCTTTGTGGAGGAACAGGCTTCAGGATGAGTGTTGGAGGGTGGGATGGATCCGGACATGCCCCGTGCCTCTGGTTCTTACTCTGCTGGAATACATTGTGCCTATCTGGACATGCCCCGCGCCTCTGGTTCTCACTCTGCTGGAATACATTGTGCCTATCTGGACATGGCCCGCGCCTCTGGTTCTCACTCGTCTGGAATACATTGTGCCTTCTGTGCAGCTTTGATCCAGTCCTTCTTTCAATATCCAACTTGACTTAGATGTCCAGTTCCACATCCAGCCACTCACCAAACCTCCAGGACCACCGCAGCCCTCTGACACATCTCCCGACTACCTCATCACTGATGGTCTGACTGAATATTTGTTTGCTCCTATCCATACTTGTACTAGAATTATCCCAACAGTGGTTATATTCTGTCTCGTCAACTCCTTGTAAATTCTAGAGCACCTTGTATCCTAGCATACCACCCAGCATCCACCAGGCACGCCGTAAATGCTCACTAATGGCTTCTAAGGAAAATCTATTGGCTTATCAAATCTTAATGACCCAGTTCCGGATTTCTCACTTTCTCCAAGGGAGACTTTGGAAGGAGATCTCATGGAATCCTGCTTTAGACAAGGCCATAATCGTTCAGATGGGCAAATAAACTCAGTGTGGATGCCAGACAATAGACATATTGACTGCAAATGAAACTGCAAAAAGGACTTTGGAGCTTGAAAGAGAAAGCTCCAAAGGTTGAGTTTATTTTCTAGATAATTAGTGTTATAGGGCCAGTCCATTAGCTAGTACCAGAATTTCTAGACCAGGCTGCAGAAACGCAACAGAACCTGAAGAAAGAACATATAGTGACTTCCCAGGACCACAAGGTAAGATTTCTGGGAATTCTGCAAGACTCTGACAGAGCCTGGGTAGCGCCAGCAGAGACGTGGACCTAGGCAGTCCCTGGGAAGTGTCTCTTGGTAACTGCAAGAAATCAGGGGCTCAGACAGAGAATAGTGCCGTCCATCAGGACAGGCACGCGGCAGCCCATCCTTGGAGGCGCTGGGCGGCTGGGAAGTAATTGAAGAGTCACGACAGGTTCCTAAATAAGATAGTCTTAAGACAGAAGGCTGGAGACTCTGCGAGGCATCTTCCGGCTGCCCTGCTCCCTGAGCCCAGCTGCCGGCACACTGTGATCGGGTCTACTTAGGACCTCAGTCTAGAACTGGTAGAACGGCTTCTGACGGAACCACTTAACCACTTCCTTTGTCCCGACATTTTCCTTACAGGAGGTAGAACTGTAGGGGTCCCAGGAGCATCCCTCACAGGGCCCAGCTGTTTGTGCCAAGTGCCGGGTCCACCGTTGTATTTTCAATGTGTTGTTCACATGTTGAAGGAGTCCTGCTCTGAAAAACAGGAGGATAGAAATAATATGGTTTTTAATATCATGAAGCAGAGTATAACATTTAGCACAGTATTCTTATGAAAATCGAAGGCAGGCAGGCTTTCAATTCTTGGAATTCAAATCTCAACTTCAGCATTTCCTAGCTGTGTGACTATGGTCAAGGTGCTTAACCTCTCTGCTCCTCAGATACTTTGTCTGAAAAATGGTCGTAACAATAATATATTGCTGGGGGAACTGCCTCAGAGCTACAGGTTGTGACTCATCAATAGCCAAGGATGCTGTAGTTATTATTTTAAACCACTCTCTTGGGAAACCTGTTATTCCTTCGAGAAAGCAAGGAATGTCAAGGTCGAAGGCAGAAGTGGCTCACACTGCCTGCGCAGTCTCTATTCATGCGGCTGGACATTCTGCCATCCATACGTCACCTAGTAGATAGAACATTTCTTCTGGAAAATCAGAACATAGTGAAATGCAAAGAGCAGTCAGAAAGAAATCCATCTGAGTCTCAGCTCTACTCCTGGGAGTTGCATAATTGCAAGTAAGCTACTCCACCTCCAGAGCCCTGCTCTCCCTACTTTGCACAGAGGCGAATCGGATCAAAAGGAGTGAGAAGAGTGGGGTGAATGCCTTAGCCACCAGTGACAGTTGTTTTTCCTATGGAAGAGTAGCGTGGAAAGGGACCTCAGAGACTAGCTAGATTTTAAAATAAGGAAACAGCTAGGAATTTCCCGAAGCTCTGTGTAACCAATATTTTTAACTGCTGGGGTCCAAGGAAAGAGAAGTGAAACCACAGTGGAGAAGTGTAGGGCATGTCTGCATGGAAGTAGTTCTCAAACGTCAGCAGCCTGAGGATCACCTGGAGGGCGTGTGGAGACACAGATTGCTGATCCTTGCCCCTGGACTTTCTGGTGGTTCACAAGTTCCCAGTGACAATGATACTGCTAGTCCAGAGACCACACTTTGAGATGCACCTATACTAATACTAAATCAAAATAGCCTGAGGTCAATGAGGAAATATATTCAAAACAACGGCCCTTCTCTTTTTTTTTAAGATTGACGTAACACTTTTTATTATTTTATTTTTACTTTAAGTTCTGTTACATGTGCAGAACATGCAGGTTTGTTACTTAGGTATACATGTGCCATGGTGGCGTGCTGCACCTATCAACCCATCAGCTAGGTTTTAAGCCCTCTATGCGTTAGGTACTTGTCCTAATGCTCTCCCTCTCCTAGCCTCCGCCCCCTGACAGGCCCCAGTGTGTGATGTTCCCCTCCCTGTGTCCATGTGTTCTCATTGTTCACCTCCCATTTATGAATGAGAACATGCGGTGTTTGGTTTTCTGTTCTTGTGTTAATTTGCTGAGAATGATGGTTTCCAGTTTTATCTGTGTCCCTGCAAAGGACATGAACTCATTCTTTTTTATGGCTGCATAGTATTCCATGGTGTATATTGTCACATTTTCTTTATCCAGTCTATCGTTGATGGGCATTTGGGTTGGTTCCAAGACTTTGCTAAACAATGGCCCTTCTCTTATGGGTGGTCTTTTCCTTTCAACAATAACAAATATTAACTGTTTCCTCTTCCTCAGTGCCACATTTTGTGCTGCCAGTTTTCTTAATCTTCAAAACACCCTTTGGACAAGGTGCTATTACTATGTATCTTTTATGGATAAGAAACTGAGAGCGTATGCGACTTGCTCAAGGTCGTACAACTAATAAATGAAGGAGCTGAGAAATGGACTTCGGGCTGTCTGAAATCTTAGCCCTGATACTGTCTTGCCTTTGAGTTTACTTTCTAGATGATTAATATTAAATAGGGCCAATCCATCAGCTAGCACCAGACTCAAGATGACTATTGACAGTTTGGAGTGCTTCTCTTGGGGTGCAGTTGGGACAGGGGGGTCAATTTAGACTTGTGATTTGGAGAGGACAGAAAGCCCCCTGAGAACATAGTTCTGGGTTCCTGCACACATTGTTTTCTGCCGTAGGTTCTGGTGCCTTGCCAGTAAGGAGTGTATAATGTAAGTAGAGAGATGAGACCACCAGCCACAACAATCAACAAGTAAAGTACGCAAGTAACCTTACCTCTCATCTGAATGGGATATCTTTCCATCTAATAACATCTTCAGTGTTCTGAAGGCCACATGCCTACCTCCTCCCATTGCACACTTGCTCACCAGCATCGAAAAAGTAATTAATTCTCTAAGTCCAGCTTATCAGTCCTTAGCAAATCAGCACAATATCCCAGGTGTCCCACCAAGTGATTCCCTTCTCAATTTTTTCTAATGCTCAAGATTCAGTAGAAACTGCAGGCTATTAAGGGTTTGATCACTCTCATAATCTCTAGGACCCTGGACCATAATGATAACGGTTTAAATACAAGGAAAACGCAGCAAAATTTCTACACGGTCCTAATCCCAACACCAACATGGACAAGATCCATGACGAGATGGAAAGGGTTGGTCATTCCAAGCCACTTGGTCCATGGTCCCTCCTGGGATGTCAAGGGCACCCAGGAAGCCTGGGAAAGACAGTCTGTTTTTCACTCTGAAACCAATTAATGTTGAAAAAGTACACACACAAAAACCTGAATTAAATTAAACCCATAAGTGAGCTAAGTAGTTATAAGCTTCAAAAACAAAAGTAAAGCTGGGGCAAATGAGAACCTGGAACCACTATGCAGCCATTAAAAAGGACAAGTTCATGTCCTTTGCAGGGACATGGATGAAACTGGAAACCATCATTCTCAGCAAACTGACGCAAGAACAGAAAACCAAACACCGCACGTTCGCACTCATAAGTGAGCGTTGAACAATGAGAACACATGGACACAGGGAGGGGAACATCACACACTGGGGCCTGTCGGGGGTGGGGGTCTAGGGAAGGGATAGCAGGGGGCTGGGGGTATGGGGGAGGGATAGCATTAGGAGAAATATCTAATGTAGATGACGGGGGGGATGGATACAGCAAACTACCATGGCCTGTGTATACCTATGTAACAATCCTGCATGATCTGCACATGTACCCCAGAACTTAAAGTATAATAAAAATAAAATAAAACAAAAAATTTTAAAAAGAGCATCAAGGACCAAGGTACTCTGTGTGTGTGTGTGTGTGTGTGTGTGTGTGTGTGTGTGTGTGTGTGTGTGTGTCTGCCTGTGTCTGTGTATCTGTCTTCCTCCCTCCTTCCCTCTCTCTCTGTCTCTGTGTGTCTGTGTGTTTTTCTGTCTATCTGTGTCTGTGTATCTATCTTCCTCCCTCCTTCTCTCTTTCCCCCTCCTCCTTTCCCTCTCTTTCTCCTTCTCTCCTCTTCTTTTATCTCTCCCTCCCCCAACACTTCTCAGCTTTATTCTCTTCACTCTGCTAACTGGTGTTCTCTGCCCCCTCTGCACACAACATAAAAGTGACCCCTCCAGCTCTGCAGAGCCTCCCACCCCACAGTCGTCCTTGGGTCCAATTCCAAATTCTCAGGAGGAAGAAGTGATCAGAGCATTTGAGGTCAGTTGTTCACCCCCAGATCAATCAGCTGTGGCCAGGGCAGGGGGCAAGATGAGGAGGTAGCCTGTGCCCACTCAACAAACAAGGCGGGCAGATTAAAATGCCCACGGCCAGGGGCTAAGCAAAGCCACCACCCAGATTGTGAACAAAGGGTCTACGAGGAGCTAAGTAGCCTCAGGAAACCTAGTCTTGCAAATCCAAACCCATTAAAGGAAAACAGCATGTTCCAAGAACACAGACTACAGGAAAGGCCAGAAGTTACTTTTGTCTGAACCACGGCAGGTGATTCTTATTTTAATGAAATGAGACTAAAGATAAGAATGAGGTAAGACGCATTATTCATTTTGTCAGAAGATGGAAATGAAACTTCTTATGTGTTTTGCAGCGGTTGTACCCCATGACGGAACAGGTGATTGAAGCCAACAGTGTGCCTGGCATTACTGCCCCAGGTAATGTTCATGTCATCCAGCCCAGCTACTCTGTGGCCTCTGGAAGTCATGTGCAGCCTTCAGGGGTGACCGTTTACCCAGTCTCACCAAAAGTAATCCAGTATGCTACAGGAAGAGCAAACTTACAGAACCAGTTCGTGGTGGACCAGAACCCAGTGGCAGGTGCACCGAGTCAACCCCTTGGGTATCAGCAGCAGTATCTGGTGGGAGCAGCCAGTTTGCAGACTGCGCCTGGAGTGATCCAATGCGCACAGGGAACGACGAATTTCCAGACACGACCTGGCAACCCTCAGAATCCTCTGAATGCTAACCCTGGGCTGACACCCACCTCAAACTCGTTCCAATGGAACATGTCATTTTCATCATTTACTGCATTTGATCCCAAGAAATTCATAAATGAGGAGGTCAGAACATTAGGGGTGAGTGTGATTTCTTCTTCTCTCCGATTTGGGTCACGTCATAAGCCCAGGTCTAGTGCTCTGGGATGAGGAAGGAAATGCATTGAGAAGGCAAAGGGCAGAAGGAGTGAGTGTGGGGGCAATTTCTGGAGGCTGGACCCAGCACGATCCCCCCAGATGCCGGCCCCTCTTCCATGTCTTCCTCCCACTCCTCAAGGAGAAACATGGTCTTTGAAGAGGCTGAATAATCAATGACCGCCCCTCCCCGGCTAGCTATTAGGGGCATCGTCAGCAAGAGTTCTGCTGAAAAGACCACTGACCAGGAGTCAGGCAATCCAGGGTTCAGGCCAACTAGATTTGCTGAGCGGCCTTGCAGACATCTCTTCCCCACTCTGGGCCTCCATTTCCTCATCTTTACAATAAGAAGATCTAGCTTTCTTAACTTCCCTCTAGCTCTGAGGTTTTGTGATTTCCTCTTCAATCAAGGGGGCCCCTGCCTCTTTCCTGACTCCTCCAGATCTATTTCACACCTTGCAAAGCTCAATTTAATTCTGTTTTGGAGGCAGAAGCCAGATCCCACTGAATGCTCAGCCAACTCCTAGTATGGAGACTGGCATGTCACAGGTGCCCATACGGTATGCATGCATCCATCCGACTCGACGGGCACCCTGCAAGGAGCTGGAGACTCAAAGATAACCAAGAAGCCATCCATGAAGACCAAGGAGGGTCTTTGTTCATGGAGGCTGTCATAATTACAACACCTTCTAGAAATAGCCGTGAAACACATGAACAAGTTATTGTGGGTGCCCAAGGTGCAAATTGTCTGGCTTCTTTGAGAGGTTACAAACTCCCTCCTGGAGGAAGGAGGACAAGGACAGGTTCAGAAAGGTGACAGACTTACAAACATCCCAACCCATCCCTCCTTATTTAATCCAGGATCCTTGTAGACAAGTAGATTGTGCCAGGAACAAGGCATTCTTTGCCTCCCAAACAAATCAAAATCAAATCGTGAACTACATTCTATAAAACAGCAGTCAGGAATAGAAATCCTGGTCATGAGCATCAAGTGAGATTATAAATGCGTGTGGAAATCCTCCAAAAGGTAAAGCTGGTCTGTGATATTGCATAGTAATTATAATCTTGTATTACAATGACTAGCCTTATTATTAATTAATACTGGGTAAAGGCTCGTTAACTTTGGCTCCCAATTATTCTAAGATATTTCGGAAGGATTTGAAAATTTGTCAAAACAGAATTAAGTCAGAGCAAATGTCTGGGAACCAGGTCAAACAAAGTGAAAAGCCAAAAATGTGGACTCTCTTTAGTCAATTACGATTTTGTGTTGGGGAGGAAACTATCTATGCCTGCCTCTTAGCCCTTTTCCTGTTTGCCCCAGGAAGACTCACCAGCAGCATAGGCAGCTGCAGTATTTACCCCAAGATAACTTTGCCATGTAACATCTCACTTTTATTGTTATTTTGGCATTGCTCTAGTGTATCAACCTCGGAAATAAGATACATCTTTCTATTTGGAGCATTCTGTTTATTTATAGCATACTGTACAAAATACAGTAATTCTTGATTGCTAAAAATTGAAAAATACAGTAATTCTTAATTGCTGAAAATGTCAAATCCTAGAAAACGTGGCATTTCCACTCAAAGTGTCAATGTCATTCTCAAACAGCTGTGGGCCAAGGATTCAACTGATGAATCCAATTTTTCCAAAATAGACAATTCTGAGGTTAGTTCTGTTTAGAAATCACTCGAAGAACCATTTTGTCATTTATTTTCACACTGAAAATCAGCCAGATTTGCTTCAGCCTCAAGAGTGTGTTTATGTAAAATTAAATGAGTGCTGGCAGCGAGCAGCACTATTTTTTTTTTTCTAAACGGGAAAGTGGTTAATTAACATACTGATAACGTGGTCCTGTAGATGCGATCAAGCATGTCATCTTAGGAAGGGACGTTCATATGAAACCCAGGTCTGTCACCAATTCATAGACTCAGGGTCCAGGAGGGCAGAAAGTGGCTGCCCTACGGTGGTCATTTGACCCCTGAGGAAACTGAGGCCCAGGGAAGCCAGTGGCAAACGCTGTAGGAGCCCCAGATGAGAGGGAATTCATGCTACATGAGGGGTCAGAAAAAGAATCTCTCTGATCCTTAAGGGAAAGATAGGATTTCAATAGGACGAGAGTAAAGCAAGCAGATTTCAGACAGTGGCAACAGGGGAGAAAAAGGAGGGAAGAAAAACAGGGAGGAAAAAGGGGGGAAAACACAGGACTTGCAGGGAACAGAGGGTCCCCCGGCGTGTACATTGCCAAGGGGAACCATGGGCACATCACAGAGAAGGCCACAAAGAGAATATTGGTACCGGGAAGATGAATGGTGTCAGCAGAGGGCACTGAAACACCTACTACGTGCTAGGAACTGGGCTACGAGTTTCATGGGCATGTTTTAATCTCTACCACAGCCCTGCAGGCTGGATACTGTTATCCCCATCTTGCAAATATGTAACCTCTCATAAACGTGTTCTTGAGGCTAAAGCAAATCTGGCTGATTTTCAGTGTGAAAATAAAATATAAAAACTGATCTTTGAGTTATTTCTAAACAGAACCAACATTGGAATCATCTGAATCATCAGAATCATCTATTTTGGAAAAATCAGATTCATCAAATTAATTTTGGCCAACAACTACTGGAGAAGGATGTTAGAATCACACGTAAGAATGTTACATTTTCTAGGATTTGACGTTTTCAGCTTTTCTGCAAATAAGGAAACTGAGGCAGAGAGGATATCTGCTGGAGACCACACAGCCGGCCAGTGCTGCAGCCAGGATGGGAGCCCATGTGGTTTTCCATCAGAACCCGGGCTCGGTCCATGTCTGTGCACACTTCTGGGCTCAGTCTGAAGGGAAGACGTTGCTTGCGCTGTTATAAGCAGTCTTACCTTTCCTTTATGCCTGTGGGTCTCAGCCTGAGTGCACATTCATATCACCTGTGAAGTCTTTAAAAAACACCCAGGCATGGACCCCACCCTCAGTGATTTTTATCCAGTTGGTCTGGGATGAGCCCCAACACCAGTCATGCCTGGGGTGATTCTGGGGTGCAGCCAGGGTGAAAGCACAGCTCCACAGCCCGCAGGCCCCCAGTTCCACTCTCTCACACTGACTTGTTTTCCCTGGCAGGCCATCCAGATCCTCATCGGCCTGACGCACATCTTCTCTGCAATTCACCCTGTGCTGTATCGCTGTACTCTTTTGCCATATTGTTCTACAACCGGGATTTCAGGGTACCCAGTCTGGGGAGGACTATTCGTGAGTACAAGGCCATATGGTCTCCTTCCTGTCACTAGACCGGGACAAGAAGGAAGTGGAGGGAGAAGGAGCATCGAATCCCCTTCCAGTAATATGACCCCACAGACTAGAGCCAGCTGCCTACCTGCACATACACCAGAGGGTTACAGATCCAACTACCCTTCCATCTCCCTGCCTCAGCAACACTCTCTCCCACTGCCACCCTCCCCATCTCCCTTACCCCCCACCCAGCCTCTAGGTAGGTGAATCACTTGGGGCCAGGAATTTGAGATCAGCCTGGCAAACATGGTGAGACCCCTCTTGCTACAAAAATACAAAAAATTAGCTGGGTCTGGTGGCATGTGCCGGTAGTCCCAGGTCTTTGGGATGCTGAGGTGCGAGGACCACCTGAGCCCAGGAGGTGGAGGCTGCAGTGAGCCATAATCACACCACTGCGCTCCAGCCAGGGTGACAGAGTGAGAGCCTGTCTCAAAGAAAAAAAAAAAGAGATATCTCCTAAGTAACTCAGAGTATACAAAGTTGTGTGCTATAGACAGCATCTTCCTACCTACCCATCATGAGGGGCCGATTGTAAAATGTCCAGGAATTATGTAAAATGATTGTCAAACCATTTGGTAGCAGGAAGTTGGCCATATTGGGTATACACATGACACGCAAATCAACACGTTCTCCAAATCAGGGCCTTCCTCTGCACTGCTGCCACCTCATGAGGCAGATGTTAATCATTTACCAGCATGCCATTAAGTGTATATCTCTTGCAGAGCTTAAGTAATAATAATAAATTGAACATTCACATGTATGATTCCACTTAGATGAGGTCTCTAGGGTAGTCAAATTCATAAAGACAGAAAGCAGCATGGTGCTTGGCAGGGGCCAGGGTAAGGGGGTAATGGGGAGTTAATGTTTTATGGGGACAGGAAACACTAGCAAAACCCCGAGTGCCCCTCTTTCCCATCAATAATCCCACCCCTGTTCTCTCACTTGAACGGCATGACCCACTTGTAGATAGAGAGGGCAGTTATCATTATCTATGTGCATTTGCCAGATGAGGAGACCGAAGCTCAAATCTTCCTCCAGCATTTATCATCCTCATAGCCAGAAAGTGCTAGAAGGTCCTGAGCCCAGGCCCCCTCAGTTCAGGGCTCTTGTAACTGAACAGAGCTCTTACTGCTTCTGATGTTCATGTTTCTGTCACCTGCCTAGCAGCATCAAGTGCTAAAGAGGACCCTCCCGCTGGGTCCAGGATCATAGCGGAGGAGGCCACAGCCCAGGTCTCCTAACTCCGAGTCCCAAGGCTCTACCCACCACACTACTCAGCCCCTGCTTTTCCAAGATCACAGTCAAGGATTGGGCAGTGTGAGGCCAAATAAGCAATAAACGCATTTGGGCAATGATATGTCCCGGCAGAGAACTCAAAAAAAATTAGTCAGATAATAATAATAATAATGAGATTTACAGCATCCTGGGACAAAATTCAGGTTTTTAGGGGAAAGGAAAGGGTTACTGTAGACCCGCAGGAGTTTGAATATCACAGTATTCAGTATATTTGGTGCCTAACCATTGGGATAGTAAAAACGTTGAGAGGAAATAGACAGATTTGCACATTTTGTGAAACGAGGTAAACAGATCATGGAGGTTGAGAAATGCATCTCTGAATGGACAGCTGTCTTTTCTAACATGCCACACAATTGGTCATTCTTTTTCTTTTTTTTTTTTTTTTTGTCCGCATAGTATATTACATCTGGATCCCTCTCAGTATGGGCTTCAAAGGACCCCAGCCCTTGTGTGGTGAGTCATCGTGCTGTCTTTGATGATCCCTGAATGTTAGAATTAGACTATCAAACATGAAGAAAGGGGACTCACAGTAGTGGTGTGCCCTGGGCCTGGCCCTGGGTACAGTGCGTTTCCATATCTTCTTCCAGTCAATCCCCACCACTCTATGAGGTTTTATTATCCCCATTTTTCCAAGGAGAAAATTGAGAAACAGAGAGGTCAGGTGGCTTGCCTAAGATTGCACAGTGAGTACCTGGCAGAGCCGGGATTTGACCCCAGAGCTCTCTGATTCCAAAGCTGTTCCTTTTTACCTATGGTAGTTACTACTCAAAAACTTACCTCTTTGGGAAACTCATGAGTATTTACATGCAGTGCCTCATGGATGCTCCGAGTAAAGCAGAATGCCAGCTCTGAGCCAAACGAAAATGTGTGTGCATTTCAGCCATGTCTTTAAGATATTTTCCACCATCCTCTTTGTGTGGACCTAGAAAGAGCAAGAGCAATGTCTGCCTTGAACAATTCAAAGTCTCAGCCAAGAGCACGGGGCCCAGAATTCCCTTGCACCTTTGGGGCGTTATTCTCTGCTCAGCATCCAGCAAAGTATCTGGCCATGTTTTGATTTTGGCTGTGGCCTCTAAGAAGCTTAAGGATAAGTTTAGAGCTCCACAATGGCCCTCCTCTCATCTCCTTCCTTTTCAGGTCCTCCTTCACCGTCTCCACTTTCTCTATGTGGCTTGTCGTCTTTCTTCTGCCTTTTGATAGGAAAGCAGCAGGTCAGCTAGGGGCTGGTTGTCTAACAAAGGGTTTCCCAATTACCAATCTCCAGTCTACATGGCAAACTCCTGTGGCCCCACAGTCTGCCTTGCTTCACCCCTTTTAGGAGGAGCAGAGTCCTCCAGACACCCCAGCATCAATCAAGCTCACATATCCCCTTCATATCCCAACAGGACTGGGAAGTTCCATATCCTCTGGGAAGTCCACTGTCCTCTCCAAGGTGTCTGCCAACTCCTGGGGGTCTCCTAGTCCTCTCTTGCTCTGACATGTGACTTTCTACAGAAATAGAGAAACTTCCGTTTCTACTCTATACATCCTACTGCTGTCCTGGCCTCTGCGCAAATGTAGAACATGGTTCCTTTCTCTTTCATCTTTTTCTGTCTTCATCTGCATAACCCTCTTAAAGGGAAGCGGCTTGAGTGGGGGATGGATAATGAATAATGTGATGATTTCACCCTCTCGACACTGAGCAGCAGATTCCTCAAAACTGAATATGAGACTTCAGGTTCTAAAAACCTTCCCCAGCCAATCCTACCAGCAGGCCCCAGCCTTCTGCCACGGAAACCGAGTCTCCCCAACTCCCTTCCCTCAATTCAAGCTTGGGATCTCTGCTCATTTCCTCTGCAGAGCAGTCCTGCATCTTTGCCTTATCTCTTTCTGAATCTCATTTCCTACCCTCTGCTGCTTAGCAAGAAATTTTCCCAAACAAATCCAGTCTCTGCCATAAAATGATGCTGCACATGGATTAAGGAATGATTTTAGGTGGAGGTTTGGAGGAAGGAGAGGATCAGGTAAAATAACTAACAGACGGGGTTCAGTGGCTCACACCTGTAATCCCAGCACTTGGGAGGCCGAGGCAGGTAGATCATGAGGTCAGGAGTTTGATACCAGCCTGACCAACAAACACACACACACACACACACAAAAGGGAGCCAGGCATGGTGGCACATGCCTGTAACCCCAGCTACTTGGGAAGCTGAGACAGGAGAATTGCTTGAACCCAGGAAGCAGAGATTGTGGTGTGCCAAGATCACGCCATTGCACTCTATCCTGGGCAACAAGAGCAAAACTCCATCTAAAAAAAAAAACAACTAACAGGTACTAGACTTAATACCTGGGTGATGAAATAATCTCTACAACAAACCCCCATGCTGAAAGTTTACCCATGTAACAAACCTGGACTTGTACCCATGAACTTAAAATGATTTCTCACCTCACTATCGCTGAAATAAACTGGCTTCTCCACCCTGCCTGGCCATCTCTTTACTGTCCTGCCTTCTCTCTTCTCTGATTTCCCAAGAGTCCCCACGAGCCGAGCTTCAGACTCTTCACACTCGGCTCCCTCTCTCCTCTCCCTCCTCTCCCGCAGGTGGACACCAGCGTTGGCCTGAACGTCATCAGCGCACTCTCGTCCCTCGTCGGGATCGTCATTCTCTTTGTAGATCTGTGCACTGACTATAAGCTGGTGAGCATTTGACTGCCAGGGCCCCATGCTGCCAAAGGACCAGGAGGGCTTATGAGGTCGCTTCCAGTGCAGAAAGGAATTGCCCCAGAATTCCATCCTAGTATGACATCCACTACATCTGTAAACTATTTAACCCTCAACAAAATCCTGTGCCCTCCAAGGTGGCCGTGATAAACCCCATTTCACAGTGAGGATGCTGAGACTCAGAGAGATGCAGCCAGTTGACCCCTCCTCATCCTGTTCTCTGCTTGGAGGTAGCAGGTGGCCAGGTAAGCGGCCTGGATGGCTGCCACACTCAGACTCACAAGATCACCTGCCCCTAGGAGTCTGTTATGGGATAGCCTTTCACACAAACCGGAAGTGCTGATGCTAGTCCTGCCTTCCCTTGGTGCGGGGGGGGTGGCGGGCAGTGGGGACTTCCAGATGCAGATGCAAAGACAAGGATTCAGGTGCAAGTTGTGTATTTCAGAGGTTATTCTAGGAAACCTCACTAAGAGGAGGGAAGAAATAAGACAAGCAAGGGGAGGAAGCCTCACTATAAAAGTTATCCAGCAAAGACCTTTGGAGATGAACCCGCTGGGGACCTGGTAGCCAGAGAATGACATGCATCTTAGCTGTACCCTGTCCTAGAGTGAGAGAGCTGGGGTATTTATCTACCAGCTTCCCTCAATTATTGATCAAAAACTGCCCCTAGCCAGGCGCGGTGGCTGACACCTGGAATCCCAGCACTTTGGGAGGCCAAGCCGGCGGATCGCCTGAGGTTAGGAGTTCAAGACCAGCCTGACCAACATGGTGAAACCCCATCTCTACTATAAAAATACAAAAATTAGCTGGGCATGGAGGCGCATGCCTGTAATCCTAGCTTCTCAGGAGGCTGAGGCAGGAGAATCGCTTGAACCCCAGAGGTGGAGGTTGCAGTGAGCCGAGATCGCACCACTGCACTTCAGCCTGGGCAACAAGAGTGAAACTCTGTCTCAAAGAAAAAAAAAACCTACCCCTGAGGGGCATCAATTCCCTAGTGCTTTCAATCTGCCATGATCATGGACAAAGGAGTCTCTTGTGGTCAAAGGAAGCCCTCAGGTAAAGCCATGCAAATGAAAGTCGGGCAGCAGGCATGGAAATATGGGAAGGATGGCGGTAACATTGACACAGCACTGGAGGAGACCTGAAGCAAGATCAAGAGTAGCTAGCTCCACAGCTGGAAGCAATCTGATCCTCTCTCGAGACTAACCAAGTGGGCAAGGGAAGGCTGGCAGGATACAGAGTCTTAAACTAGACCTGTCTACAGGGATGAAGGCAGTGCCTAAGGGGAGAGCTCCCTGCAGGCCCCGGGAAGAAGCCCGATGCACAGGATGTAACTCGGTGTCTAGGAGATGTGGCAGCAAGGTGCTGGCCTCTAAAGTCCAACATGATGCAACAGGATGTCCCAACAAAGGAGCGGACTGTGGTCATGTGGAACCAAGAGCGCAACGGCTACAAATCCTAAAGGTGGTCATTTGGCAATCGGCCTCTGTCGTCAAAGAGCATACAAGCGTAGTGTAGCACGAAGTCACTGGAGTCCAACAGGCATTCCAAGCCCCCGGCTCCCCACCTGCTGCTGCAGAGAAAGAGTGTGTAGGGATGAGAGGAGCTCAGTGGCCTCTCCCACTTCACTGTGGGCAGGGACCAGGCCCAGAGCACACTGAGCTGTGTGGGGTCCCTTCAATCCCGTCTTAGCTTCCGTCTTGGCAGAAGCCCTTGAAGCTCTGAGGACCCATCCCAACCTGCCAAGGGAAGTATGAGGCAGGGATACTGAAAGAGGGCTGAGAAAGCCAGGAGCCGGGCAGAGCTAATGACCCTGACCCAGCTGGTGTCTAACCCCTGGCCCCAGGAGAGGAGCCCAGACCCTCACACAGGGTTTCCTTGCCAGTGCACTTGTTGAAATGTCTCAGTTTGGGTTCCTCCCAGAAGCAGACTTTGAGACAAGTAGTTTCTTTGGGAAAGGAAGAAAACACTAACCTAAGGGCTGAAGGACCTGGGGTATTTATACACCAAACCCTAACAGTCATGGAGAGAGGGCTGTTCTCAAGGAGCACTCATTCCCTGGAACTTTGAACCTGTGCAAACAGCAAAGTGGACTCCAGAGGCTAGAGAGAGCCCTGAGGCAAAGGAATACAGCTGCTGGCAGTTGGAAGTCAGGCCAGTGACTAAAAGGGTAAGGCAAGGGCATATAACATAGGTGCCCCCAGCATCTGCTCCAAAGAGCCACGTGCAGAGAGGCTCTCAAGCCTTCCAGGTGAGGTGTGTGGCACTCCAGATGTGGACTGTCACCTAGATGGTAAACCCAGAGGACTAAAAGCCTCCCATTTCTCTCTGTCTCTAGGTAGATATAAAGACAATTTGTGGTGGTCTGCTCCCCTTCGCCCTCCTGGAGTTCATCCTCACTTGTGTGGTCTCATATTTTGGGTGCCAGGCTACCTGCTGCAGACAATTTGGGGTAAGTGTTGGACTCTGTTCCAGGAATCAGAGCATGCTCTGGGATTGGGTGTGGGCTGTAGCAAGAGGTAACCAGAGATCCGGAGAGATGAGGCCTGAGAGAGGCTCTATCAGTTAAGTTTTGCTGCATAGCAACCTACCCCAGAACTTAGTGACTTACAGTTATTTGGCTCTTCATTCTTCATATCATCAGTTTGAGCTATGATCAGTGGGTAGCTCTTCTGTCGGCCTCAGATTAACTCAGATGAATCTTGGCTTGGGGATGGTTGGTCTCCAGGGTCCTTCATGAAATAGCTCATCTCTGCTCCCCACGTTATATGATCCTCCAGGATGCTCACCTGAGCTTCTTCATGGGGAGCTGGGTTCCAAGAGTAGCAAGACACAGCAAGCCCCCACAGGCAACCACTTTAAGTCCCTGCTTGCATCACATTTGCTAATGTACCACTGGCCACCGTCAATCACATGGCTGAACCCAGATTCCATGAGTGGAGCAACAGCTCTACCTCTCGATAGGAGGAGCAACAAAGTCACCCAGCAAAGGCTGATGAATATAAGGATTTGTAACCAGCCTTGCAGTCTGCAACAATGCTTCCCTCTGACCACAATTAACTCACAGTTGTTCAGGATGCAAAGCATGCTCAGCCCATACTTTGGATGCCCAAACATCCCATCTAATCATGGCATGGCATCAGTCTTGAAAACTAGGATCCAAATCAGATCGAGATATGACTGAGGATTTGGGGGTATTGCTCTTCTTGATCCAGAAACCTACTAACTAAAAGCAAGTTCCACCCCCATATATTCAACATACTTTAGTGAGAGAAAAATAGAATAAATAAAATTCTGTTATTTTCCCATTCAATAAGGAAAGAACAGAAGCCCAAGATTGTCACTGCTCCATAATAATTCTGAAATCCTATGGGGGCACGTATTATCTTACCCTGGGGGCAGAGAATGTTTCTTGATTAGGAGTCAGTTTGACTCTCTAGAAGACTCTGCCCATGCCACTGTTCTCTACTACTTCCTGAGAGGAGCTTTCTAATCCACTGCTCTCCAGGATCTTGACTCCACCCTCTGGACTCTTGGCTCCACCCTCAGAAACATGTTTTCTTTTCTCATAAGAAAAGGCCTATATTTTCCATTTTGCTTTTTCAACCTGATTCCTATATTAAGAGTAAGACCTAAAGGTCTTTTTGCAGTTTGAGCAATTTCAGTCAGATCTGGTCCAAGTTGGTGATCTTGTTACTAATACAATTCCCTTAAAACTCCAAGGGTGTTTTATGTATTAGATTATGGCTTTCACCGTCTGATAAGAGCCACACACGAGACTCTTCTAGACATACTTCTCTCTCTAAATCTGCCAATGTCTATTTTGGGATGAGGCTTCTGTGAGAGAAATATTTTAAGGTTCTTAGAAGCATTTTGTCTAGTTGAAAGGGTCTAACAAGCACTGATTAGGCCTTCAAAGGTCTTAACAAAGGGCTGTGTAGACACATCCTTGTTTTGATCTTTGTCCTGAGCCCTAGTTTTACTTTGAATGTTATTTATCCTTTGAGGACCTAGGAAATTAGAGACAATCTTGTTTCCTAACTCATCAAGTCCTGGGCCCTCTACTTTGCCTCTAGATACCACTTGCAAACTAAAGCATTCCTTCTTATCCTCTCACTTCCTTACAGCACTTTACCATATGCAGCCAGGAGCACCCAAGTGACATTTTCAGCATTCTGCCTGATCTCCTTAGCCAAATCCAAATGTTATTAGGTGCATATTTTTGTCTTCTAAAATACAGCAGTGTTCCGCCACTATATAACATGGGAAATCATTTCTCCACTCTGCTTTGGCAGTTTCCTCTCCCCTTTCCCAGCCTTCTCCAGCAGTGAGATTGCCATTTTTCCAGCCTTTGCCAGAGGCTTACTCACAGCTTCTCTAGCACCACCTGCCACCAGTCCCAAACCCCATACATGTGTTGGATGATTGTTATTTTATTTCTAGCTACCAATTTCTATGTCAATTGGCTTTTGGCCCACATCAAACAACCCTAAAACCTGATGGCTTACTCAAGAACCACTTATTTAGCTCATGATTCCCTGGGTCTGCTGGGCAATTCTTTTGACCTCTGCTGGATTTGCCATGAGTCTGCAGTCAGTTGGTGAGTTGCCTAGTGGCTGGATGATATTGAACAGTCCCACACGAGTGTCTGGCTATTTGCAAGCTGGCAATAAACAGGGCCATTGGGCCACTTGTATTTCATTATCCAGCAGTCAGGCCAGTCTTTATGTTCAGTGTTCCAAAGAGCAAGAGGAGAAAGCAATCTCCAATGGCAAACACTTTACAGGTCACATTTACTGTTGTCCCCTTGGCCAAAGAAGTCACATGACCAAGCCCAGCATCAGGGAGAGAGGGTCCACCTAAGGGTATGGAAGCAGGAAGGAGAAGAATTTTTGGCCACTTTTAGCTGTTTACTACAGAGGAAGATGATGACCACATGTCCTTTGTCTTTCAGAATGCAACAGGGATTCCAGCCATATTCAGTTTCAACCCATCCAGTACTACCACCAGCCCTGTCAATGTGACCACTGGCCCTGTCAATGCTACCACCGGCCCTGTCAATGTGACCACCGGCCCTGTCAATGCTACCACCAGCCCTGTCAATGCTGCCACCAGCCCTGTCAATGTGACCACTGGCCCTGTTAACACCACCACTGGCCCTGCCAACACTACCACCAATTCTGTCAATGCTATCTACACCAACAATGTACCCCCTGAACCCTCATATCAAGAAATAACTGATTTGCCCAAAGCTAGATGACATGGGATGCCTGTCTTAACCACAAGGGGATGCACTGCAGCCGTGTCTTTCCTCCTCCCTGAAACTTCCAGGCCCATAACCCTAGCCTTGCTGCCAGACTGAAATGAACAAGCATTTCCTCTCCTCTTCACCCCAACCTTCATTTTTGTTACTGATGCCTTTTTTTAATTTATAAATAATTTTCCTTTGGTTCTTGGAGTGCAGGGCGCATTTTTGTTCCATGGTTCCTGATGTGTGCTCACTGCTGAAAAACCAGTTCTAAACCAGTGCCTCAGCCATGGAATTCTTGTAGGTCCAACTTCTGCCCAGTCCCCGGCTCTAACTGTGACACAGTTCTCCCCCACAGAAAAGGGGGAACAATGTAGAGTGTGTTCAGTATTCCCTGGTGTGGGAGTGGAGGAAAACCTTTGTGACCTAGAGTTAGGTAAAGAGTTTTTAAACAAGGCACCAAAAATACAATTCACCAAAGGGAAAAAAAAATCAATAAGTTGAACTTAGAATTAAAAACAGTTGCTTTTACTCCAAGAATGCTATGAAGAAAAAGAAAAAGAAAAAAAAGAAGTAGCTTTGTGAAAGATCTTGTTAAGATGAAAAGTCACAGCCCAGGAGAAAATATTTTCAAATCACATATCTGACAAAGGACACATTTCCACAATATATAAAGAACTCTCGAAACTCAACAGTATGAAAAAAAATCTAATTACAAATTAGATCGAAGGCTTGAACAGAAGCTCTGACAAAGAGAATATAGGATTGCAAATAAGCATATGAAAAGATGTTCATTGTCATTAGCCAGTACAATGAAACACCACTACACACCTATTAGAATGGTCGAAATAAAAAATACTGATAATACCAAGTGCTGGTGAAAACACAGAGCAGCTGGAGCTCTCAGATGTTGTTAGAATATCAATGGCACTGCTGCTCTGGAAAACAACTTGGCTGATCATTATAAAGCAAAGTATACACTGACCATATGACTCAGCAATCTCACCCCTGGGTATTTATCTCAGAGAAAATAAAACTTACTTTGACACGAAATGTGAATAGCAGCTTTATTTGTAATAACCAAAACCTGGAAACAACCTAAATATCCTTTGGTGGATAAGTAATGGAACAGCGAACTGTGCTATACCCACACGATAGGATACTTCTCAGCAGTAAAAAGGAACAAGCTATTAATATGTGGGGGAGGTAAAACTTCACCCCTACCTATCTTTGCTTCTGTTTGTTATTGATGTCTTTTTCTCTTCATTCGTAAATAATTTTCTTATGGCTCTGGGTGTCTTTTAACCTTGGCTCAGTGCAGGGTGCATTTTTGTTCCGTGATTCAGGATGTGTGCTCACTGTTGAAAACCCAGTTCTAAATCAAGCTATAATAGGTTTTCAGCTGAGGCTCTTTAACAAAAAGACAGGTTAACAAGAGAAAAGCAGTTTATTAACCCACTAAACACATGACCCGGGAAAAACCTCAAGGAAAAGTAACTCAAAACAGTGGCTTAGAATCTGCTTACATAGCATCTTCCACAAAGAACAATGGATTTGTAGAGAAATGACGGGACAAAGGAAAGCAGTTTTAGGCTTCCAAAGGCAGGAAACTGGGAAGTTAAATATATGGAAAGAAACTAATAGAGTAAGTTTACAGTTTCCTCGGGAGCCATCTCTGGGCTAATAAGAGTCTAGAGTCTTCTCCAGTAAAGGAGAATTTATATCCTGCCTTTAGGCAGAAAAGGAAGAGGATGGAGGGAACTTTTTCTGCATTTGCTTTTTCTTAATTGCTTTCAGCTTGAAATACTTCTTATGTTAAAGAGGCATATTTGGGGGTGACATAATCTGGTTTCCTTCAATACACACAACAATTTGGATTTCAAAGACGTGAGTGGAAAAGCCAATCTCAAAGTGTTGCATACTGGTGATTTCATGTATATAATATTCTCATAATGACAGAATCATAGCCAAAAAGGAAGGAATTAGAACGTCAAGAATAACAGCAATCTCAGTAATTATAGTAGCAACAACCCCTGCAATGGATTGAAATACGAGGCTCATCGTGTTCGAAAAGAAAAACCCTGTGATCATCTTTGGAGATTGCCAGGCACACCGATTATTCTAAAAACTGGTAAATAACAGGAAGGAATCAAGCATTCCCATAAGGAAAAGCAAGGGAAGAATCATTCAGCCTAGAGCAGCCAGTCACCAAGGAAGGTAAATAGGTCATCAGCTGGGATAGCACAGCAGCAGGCAAGGAGAGGGCAGAGCTTAGTGCTGCGCTTAGAGTCTGGATATTTCCATTTTTTCCTGCTGTTCCTACTTCTTAAAGTTCAGCATGCCTTGCTTGGTCTGGGCCTACAGGGTTGCTGACGTGAGCGACGGCCGTAAAGAAACAGACTGCTGCACGTAGCTGTTGCCGTAAACATTCTGCAAAACCACAGTGGCAACCCACAAGGCACGTTTATTTTTGCTTTCTATTGTTGGCTGGGCAGCCTTCCTGATCTGATCTGGGCTTGGCAGGACTCATCCATGTGCTTGTGTTCACTGAGGGTCAGCTAGGTGGCCCTGCTGACCTTGACTGCAGATGTGGGGCCTCAGCAAGGACCGCTGGGCCAGCTTGGCTGGGCTCCAGGTGTCTCATCCTCCTGAAGGCTGGTCCAGGAGTGGTCCATGGGGGTTGCAGAGCTCCAAGGGAGAACGGAAGCAGCTCAGACCTGACACATGGCCACTTCTTCCATGTCCTATTGGCAAAGGAAGCCAAAAGACAGCTCAGTTTCAAGGATTTGGGAAAAGAGACTCCATCTTTAGCTGCAAGAGGTGTGGTGCTGGTTCAGCTGAGAGCTGGCCCAGCTACGGGCATCTGGACCATTCCCTGTGCCATCATGAGCCCTCAGGTCCTGTGTCATCTCCCTGACTTTGTACAGAGGCATCAGGGGCTATTTTGGTGAGAACTGGAACCCAGAAACTGATTACCAAATCACTCCACATGCACGTACCACTCCAATATCACACTATGCATACTAACACTAACATGTGTTCACACACACGTGGGCACACATTCACACACGCTCATGTATGCACACACATTCGCACACTCATGTATGTGTACACACATGTACATTGTGCATGTGTGCACACTCACCCATATGCGTGAGAACGCATATGGGTGTACAGGCCCATGTGTGCACGCACAATCACACTCACATGTGTGCGCACACCTTACACTCACATGTGTACACACACGTACACATACACATGTGCATGCACATGCATGCACACACACCAACACACACCCACACATTCACACACACCCTCACATACATTCACATTTACACACACACGTGCGTGCGCACACATTCACACCCACCATCACGCATTCATATACCCACATGCACACACACACTCACATCCACACATTCACACACATTCACATTTACATGCACACACACATGCTCAGATGTGTTCACTCACATGTGCACATGCTCATACCCTCACACACACTCACCCCTAGGCTCACACAGTCTGCCTCTGCATTGGGAAGTTGTGGGCTCCCTGGCCCCCCATCTAACATTGGACAAGTCCAGTGGAAGGAAGACAGGTGGCCTCTGATTACTCAGTTTCCCCCACCCAGCGGCAGAAAGATGAAGGCCAGTGTGGCTCCCCATCCCACCTGATACTAACAGAGGCCACTTGCCTCTCTGGCCCTCAGTTTCCCCTTCTGTAGATTGTAGGAAGGGATCCAGATGTTCTCCCAGGGCCCTTGTGGCCTGGCGGCGGATGATTCCACGAACAGTCTCCTTGGGTCCCTCAGTTGGGCCTTACAGACAGAGGCCTCTGAGCCAGGAGGGACCTGAGAACTTCCCAGAGGCGGCGGCTCACAAGCAGAGTGGATTTCCAAGCCCCACGTGAATAGCAAAGCTTTCACATGAATATGTGTGAACTCAGGAGAGTAGGCTGCGGGAGAGCAGAGGCAGCGGGGAGCTTGCAGCGGCACAGCAGCGGTAGCAGCCCGGTGAGTACCCTCCACCCTTGCAGGGCCTTAGTCCAGGTGGCCCAGCCCCAGAGAACAGCAGGGGAACTGGCGCACGGGCACCTGGGATCCCTGGGAAAGGAAAGAGATAGAGCCGCTCACCACAGGAGGGTGTGGCTCAGCCCCCACCTGGCACTAAGGGGCTGGGAAGCTCCCTGGGCCCTCTGAACTCCAGGCCTCTCACAGACAGGGAACCACCAGCCCAGAGCCCATAGGCCCCATTGCGCAGGTGAGTGGGGAGCTTGTGAACAAAGCTGCTTCTGGCTCCTCGTGAATAAAGGTGATGCACAGAGATGCTCACAGGACGAGCCCTGGCTGCTCAGGGCGGCTCAGCCTAGGACTCTGGGGCAGCCTCTCACTGAATGTCCTGAGCTCAGTTTCCTCATCTGCGAAATAGGAATACTAATAGTACTGACCTCAGAAGGTCGTTAACAATAATAGAAGCTAAAAGGCATGGCATGCCTCCTGTGTACCAGGCACTGTGATAGGCACAGTTGGGTGTTAACTCTTTAAAAACTCACAGCAACCACAGAAGTCTGACATTAGGGCAGTCCAGTGGCTTTTCTGACTGTGCTCAGACACAACAAGCAGCTGTGATCTAGTCAGTGAAGTGTTGAATCTCGTTGTGTATGTCCCGACTTGATTTGGGGCGCCTCGGTTCTCAGCCCCGGAAACATGGCAGGTGAGAAGGGTGTCTGGTGGGCTTCCCCTCCCTTTTCCCACTGGATTCCCTCCTCCTCCCCATCCAGCCAGCTAACTGTGGCTTCTGCCCTCTGCAAGGAGGAACAATGGAGAAAGAGGGGAACGGGATAGGAATGCGTACTTGCCTGATACCATTGGAAGCTAGCCTCACCTCCCTGAGGCTGGAAGTCAAGTTGATTTCTCTGCAGGGGTATTTCATGGGCTTTATGGAGATGCCCTCCTCCCCACTGGGGTCTCTCTCCTGCATACCCCCACAAAATTCCTCCCTCAACTCAGGAATCAGGCAGGTCCTTTCTGCAGGCTGTACATTGAAATCTCTCCCAGCAGTCTCCTTAAAGCCAGCCTCTCTATCTTGTCTTAAGATGAAGAAGGACACATCCCCTCCCCCATATACAGGGCTCAGATGATTCTGTAAGTTCTTTCCCAAAACCCACTCTCAATCCCCACTCCTAACCCCGTGGGGGAGGAGGAAAGGCATCTAGCAGGTTCTCAGCCACCTGCTTTCCACCCGTCCCACTGAGCGGTCTACGTCACAGCTCACTTCAGTGCCTGGTCTCAGCTGAAACTCTCTTCAACATCTCTGACAGATACAGCAGCCTACAAGGCCCACAGCCTGTCCCATTCTTCCACACTGCCATTTCTAGCCTTGTTTTACTGGTCTGCAAAATAGGCTGAATAACACTTACCTTACGGGCTATTGGATGGTTCTATGGTCTCATACAGGTGACGGGTCTTTATAAACTGAAAAAGGGCTGTGTCTCTGAGGGCTGTTACTACCACTGCCCGTTCATTGGGTGATGACATGCATTTTGGTGATGTCTGGGTACTTTCTGTGTCTCTGCTACCGGCAGCTGTTCCTCTCATGGGTACCTTGCAGATTCCTAGAGGCAGGGGGCAGTGGCGTTCCCTCCTCCACCTGTCCATCCCTGACACACGCATTTGTGTTTTGGGCATGCTGACTGATGGGTTAGTAAGAAAAAGAGAGTCCTCCTTCTGGGTAGAGCAGAGCCAGGGCATGGCCTCTGGAATGTGGCAGATGAGTTAGTCCCTGGCCCCAGGGTGCAGAGGCACTGGTAGCGGCCACAGAGGGCGGGGGAGAGAGAGGAGTTTACATTCTCAGGAACTGTGTGGCACTTGGATGCTCATGATTTCACTTACCCTGCCTGTTGACAGAGAGCCTATTTTTGTAGGTGTTTTCTCTTCCCCTGAGGATCACAAGGTCTCTGTTTTCCAAATTTCTCACCACTTGCCCAGGAGAGATGTTGTTAATTACGCACGTGCTCCCATCTGGGGCTGCACAGGCCCAGTCTGATCTGAA